AGGTCCGGCCAAAATAATTTCTCTCCTCCGTGGGACCGCAGGAAGGGCAACAGACGCTTCTGGAGGCACTCGGTGCGGTAAATTTGGCTGTTGATGGTACCCATTGTGATGTACGGTTTACTCACTTTACCGCATTGGCATATGGCCAAGTATTTTTTGGCGAATTTGTCCACTTTCTTCTTCCTTATGTCTTCCGGATCATCAAACCGTGATTTGGCAACGTAGAACTCCAGCCCCGGTATCTGCTTTGCGTCTGCCTTGATGTAGGTTTCGTCATTCATAACCACACACATCGGTTTCGTTAACCACTCTCGATACAGTTTCCTTGTGCGGGATTTGGCCGCCGTGTTTTGTTGATCACACCGGTTCGGTGCCTTCCGGACCTTGAGTACACGAAGCCCAGCTCGTTTCATGGTTTACTGAATGAACCAGGCGGAACACTTTGCCTTCAGAGCCGCGTCGCGAATCGAAAGGATCGGACTACGCTTGAAATAATCCAACACCTTCCGGGCCTTCACAGGGTCAGCTGTCTTCGATTTTCTTCCACTTCCAGCCCGCCGCTCGGTCGTCTGGGACTCCTTAAACGATTTTACCACCCGAGACACAGTTGTATGGGTGATTCCCAGTTGTCTTCCGATCCATCTCATGGTCGCAGTCGGATTTTCCATGACGGCGCGCAAAATTCTCCGGCGATTTTCTTCTTGTTTCGATGACATCTCAATAACCACTGAACCGATTGTTATGAAATTTTGCACAATTCACTCCAAACTAGTTATACCCAGATTTTCATCAATTTTTAACCACGGATAAAAAAGTTACTCACGGATAAAAATGGTGCATTTTTTTCGAGTACAAGCCTTACTCATCAACTATTAAAAGTTACCAAGTTAATTCGTTTAAACAAATCTGAAAGCTGCTCTACTGGAGTCGCTCTTCTAGACATAGAAAAAGCATTCGACAGTGTTTGGCATGAAAGTTTGATTGCTAAATTGAAAAAGTTTAATTTTCCACTCTATATTATGAAATTAGTTCAAAATTATTTAACTGACAGAACTCTGCAAGTAAATTATGAAAATTCTAATCGACTACCTGTTAGAGCAGGAGTTCCTCAGGGTAGCATTCTTGGGCCTATATTGTATAACATTTTCACTTCGGACCTCCCTGATCTGCCTCAGGGTAGCCACAAATCTTTGTTCGCTGATGACACAGGCATTTCCGCTAAAGGAAGAAGTCTTCGTGTTATTTGCAGCAGACTGCAGAAAAGTTTAGATATTTTCTATTCTTATTTATAAAAATGGAAGTTTTCTCCCAACACTTCCAAAACTCAATTTATAATATTTCCACATTCCAGAAGGTCGAAAGACAGAAGGTCGAAAGACAGAAGATCGAAAGACAGATAGTCCAAAAGGACAAAAGTTCGAAAGGCTAAAAGCTACCAGGAGAATTATTTGAGATACTGTGATTTAAATTTTCATTTAAGACTTGAGTTTTAAAAATGTACACTTCGAACTTTGGATAACTTGTGAGTTTTAGGATTTGAAAAAAAAATTATGATTAATCAAAATCGCATATTTTTATTTGATTTTCCCTTTATTTATACATGATCAGTTCTTTCGAAAAATTTCGAAAAACTAAGATGAGATATTAGAATATCATATTTTCAGAGGTTATTCCTTCTATTATGAAAAAAAGGTTTTAGGATTTCGACCTTTTGTACTTTCGATCTTTTGTTCTTTCGACAGGGTGGCCAGTGAACCCTGAAAACCGGGAATACTGGGAAATATCCGGGAATTTGAAAAATAACCGAGAAAACCAGGAAACACCCGGGAATTCGATGAGAGAACCGGGAAAAATAAATTAACCACTCAATAGGAATACATTTTCACACCAGAATTTCAGAATAAACCATTAAAACAGTGTGATTTTTTACCAAATGAATGTCTTTCTCTATTTGCTGCTTAAATTTTCTTCAGAGTCCCGCCTTGTTGTTCTTAGAATTTAATCACTCAGCAATATTTCAAATTGATTTTTGCGATTCAATTTCAGATGTAAAGTCCATGGGCCTTAAAACAAAATATTGAAGATTCTGGACATAAGAAACAAATATTTGTAAAAACTGAAACCGAACTATTCTTTTCCCGGGTTTTAATTTTATTAAAAATTCTCATGATATGAATTTCAGAATGAAAATGGAATTCTGCTCTGAATTATTATAGAATTCTTTTAAAATTAGCCAGAAAACACTCTGCGTAATAATTACAATTGAGTTCTTTTTGGAATTTCCTATTTTCAAACCTAAACAAATTTCAAAGCCCAAGAATCTTGAGAAGCTATCTTTTTAGTAGCTTTTTTATCCGATATCACTATCAATTTGCTCTAATTCTCATTTGTACCAAGTTCATTTTTCTGAAACATTTTTTTTAATTAAATCTCTTATTCTTCACAATTCACCTATTATATAACCTATTCATCCAGATAGCATTTAACCCAGTGACCTTAATCTCTGTCACTCAATAAATTCTAGGGCTTTGAAATCATAAGATGTATCGATCATAAATAGTGGTAGAATTCGATTTATCAAAGTATCTCGAAAGATCAATATATTGTTTCAAATACATTTAGTGACTCATAGCGTTGAATTTTTCCTATAGCTTTACACCCCGTACAGACTATGACTTAAATCATGTTATATAGGCTGTCGTGCAATGAGCACTCATACATCTAGTTTTCACTGGAAATCCTATGCCTACACTGATAAAAATTCGGAATTTTAATTGTGATGTAAACATTCAATCACGTAGACTTGTATTTCATTTCACGCAACCGAGCAACTTGCAAACAATGTTGTTTACAAAGATGGGCTTTTGTATACAATATTTGCTCCATTGCATGAAATGTGTCAGAACTTTACATGATATATAATGTAAGCGTATATGATATGTGACGCTCCATTTATGTGCATCATATTGAACATAAATTTACACTACTTTTTCGCACTGAGTATATTACATGATATAATACATAGTCTGTACAGGGTATTAGAAAACACTTTCTGTAATTTGGCTTTCATTTTTCCCATAATTAACCACTGAAAATTTACAGTTGGCCACGTTTTAAAAAATGTGTACAATTTCGTTTTTTGTTGAATATCAACAACCGTGAAATTTTAAAGATTTGAAAACCGGAAAAAAACCGGGAATTTCAAACTGAAAAGTCACTGGCCACCCTGTTCGATCTTTTGGCTCTTTCGACCTTTTGTCCTTTCGACTTTATGTTTTCCACCCTTATTTCGTTCGAACTTTTATCATTGATTCTAGTATGACTATGATACACATATTAATAATAACAAAAAGAAGACGCCCAAGCAGCCATTTCCCTTCAATCAATGATTTCGTAATTTGTATTAAAAATAACATCATCACCCAGAGATGACAAACGATAACGGTGCAACGGCGGCAGCAGCAGATTGCCAGCATAGAATTATGGTTGGGGGAGCTAACAATAAGCACACCGTACATATTGCATCCATCGAGCACAGCACAACACAATGGACGGTGTGCAACAATCAGCTTCCAGGAGCGGAAACTTCAGAACGTGAACAATACCAACCAACACAGTCGCGCACTCTCTACCAAAGAGATTCGTCGGAAAAGGGAATAAAAAGTGTCTTTCTCGAACGAGCAAAAAAGTGTGTTCCAGCACCCGATACAAGAGAGCGCGCCACAAAAAAAAGATGATAAGAGATGGACTCTTTTCATATACCTATATATTTCACAAAATGCGACACTTTATTGTTTGCTGAAACGATGGTTAGAAAAATGCGATACATTTGAGACCTTTTTTGAATAGAGAGACGGTGTTTTTTCCCCATCCATTGTCGTCTAGGTGTGCTTCATAAGGATCTTGTCAACTGATGGCGAAAAAAGAACATTGTTTGAACAAGGTGATAGTGATGGAAGGTCTTCATCTTTTGACCGGGATAAACTATCCAGGGAGAGAGATGGTCATCAGTCCACAATCAAGCGAATTGCACGAACGAGATTGCTATTGGCCAAAACATTCACTCGAGCACGTTCCGGGATAACCCCGCTCAAAAGCCAATAGAATTATTTACTCCCGGCTAGCAGTAGCAGTATTTAAATGGAAGATAAAATAATTGATTTATCGCTTTCCAGCACACCTGAGACGGCTACCTTTGCAGTCCTTCGTAGGAAACACGGAACCTCACTCGCAAGAATCCTTTCCTTCGCCCCTTAAAAAAAAAAAAAAAACTGATAGCCTTATCGCAACAAATATGTATTCTGGTGGGATTCGATGCGATCCCAAAACTGTCGAAACAAAAAAGAAAGTGTAAGAAGCGAACGAAGGTGGAAGCGGTTGAGAAAATCTCTTATCAGTTTGAAATTTATTATAATTTGATTGGAAGCAATAATAAAACTCCCGGGACGGTGCCAATGGGAGCCGCCTGGTTGGGCCTTGGGCTGCGTAACTCAGTGAATGGGTGACTATTACGGTTCGGGTACAGCTCAGCCAGAAGGATTTCTTTTCTGTTCTGCTTTTATGTAAAGGTACGGAATCCGCATCTGTTGAGGAAGAGTGTCTTACTGCTGTGTTACGGTGAAGGTGTTCAATTGATGCTTGGGTCTAGGGTTTATGTAGGTATTTATTTTTTTCTTTTGCGAGGATGGAATCCTTCACAGAAGGAAGGTGATTGGTTGAATGCTGTCTTCTCTTCGATGGGTCATGGTTGAATGTGGAATCTAAATCAGTGAAATTTGGCTTTACCGCTAATATCAGATCGCTTGGGCCAAATGCCATTTGCAAACGGAGCCGTTCGACTGAACAACTGTTCTAAAAATAAGACATGTTTCAAAGATTTACAGGACTTTTCTAGAACTTACAATGCATCGAGATTTTGTGCAAACTTTAAGGATATTTTATTTTTTTAGTTTTATATGTAGCATTCTTCAATCTTATTTCTTATTTCTTTTCCATTGCAGAGAATCCGCCCGTCGAAATCACCCACTGGCCTGCGAGTGCGATATCCTGGAAACGTGTTCGATGCGTTTATCACTGCTCCAGATGACATTCGGTAAACATATCGAGCGGAAGCATTGTTGCTTTTTTCCTGGTGGGGTAAGTGCACTTTCTTGGCTTTGTTCAATTGATTCAAACAGCACAAACTCGTCCCGAAACGAAATTAGTTCATTTTCCGATGCACATCAACATAAATCTACATTCTCCGCCTTTGGATCCAATCCTGTGAACGGAATTCGTGACATTTCAACCCGGCAAACTAACCGCTATTCCTATGCACAGTACACGATCTGAGTCGTGAGTTGTTACTCCAAAATCCATCGTCTTCAAATGCGACCCTCGCCATCAAATACGTTAGAGACTGTACCCCGTACGCTACGGTAGCGAGTCTCTGTGTAAGGTCGGGCGTTTTGTGTCGCGAAATGTGTCTGATTGACAAATAGATAAACTGTCGAAGCGAAAATCTATATATCGTACTGTCACGTACGTGACCTCTCTCTCTGGTGTGCCTGCATTAGACGCCAATCCTGGACACTGATTTCATCTACAAAACCGATATGAGGATACTTGGAAGTGTGGTGTAGGGTAACGCTGCTAGGATTTGGACAGTTTACGTTGCAAACAGTGTGAGAATATGCTCAAAATAATGATAGCTTAACTTTGAGTCAACTGATGAGCTATCAGTTGATCAGCTATAAACATGATTCAGACAGTGAATGACTTTGCAATTGTCGATATAAATATTATGCATACGATGATAAGCATGGTCAAGTTCGAGCCTGTATGCTAGAAATAAGCTTTGCCTTAAGATTGATTTGACGTTAGAAATTTTTTTTAAGTAGTCCAAATGTAGGTTTCTTATTTCATTTTTTTTTTTAATATTGCAAAATTATTGCATTGAATTTTTGAAAAAAAAAATCCAATCTTCATGGTGGCTAGCAAACCGGTTAAACCGGGAATACCGGTAAATATCCGGGAATTTGAAAAGTAACGGGGAAAACCGGGAAAAAAAACCCGGGAATTCGATGAGAAAACCTGAAAAAATAAATTAACGACATTTTTACACCAGAATTTCTAAATAAACTATTTAAACAGAGAGATTCTTTTCCAACGTCTTGTTCTATTTGCTGCATAATTTTCTTCAGTTTCCCGGCTTATTGTTTTTAGAATTTAATCACTCTGCAATATTTCAAATTGATTTTTGTCGTTTCAATTTCAAATGTAAAGTGCATGGGCCTTAAAAGAAAATATTAAAGATGCTGAACTTTGGAAACAAATATTTGTAAAAGCCTAAACTGAACTATTCTTTTCCGGGGTTTTAATTTTTCGTTATTCAAAAATTTTATGATATGAATTCCAGAATCAACTTGGAATTCTACTCTGAACTATCATGAAATTCTTCTAAAATTAAGCGGAAAACACTCCGCGAAATAAATACCGCTGAATTTTTTTTGGACTTTCCTTCACCCCTTCTAAAAATTTGATTGGAATCATTCTTAGAATTCCCTTGAACCTATTCGGAGACTTTGATACATTTGAAATTCTTTTAACAAAAAAATCAGCATAAATCTTTCGAAATTTTATTTAGAATCCCTTTGGAGTATTTTAAAGAATTTCTTTCTAATTATTAGAAATTTTTTGGCAAAATTGTTTGAGCTCTGTGATGAAACTTGCGCACTAAGGTTGAAATTATCGCCAGAACACTATTTCTTTTTGAATTCTCATCATAATTCTGTTGGTTTCTTCTTAAAATTCATCTGCCATTTTCCTCACGATCCTCATGCAAATCTCCTCAGAATCACGTATGAATTTTCACTAATTTTTTTTTTTCCAACTCCTTTTGAAAATTTTCCAAATTTACCTTAGAATTAAGGTAGTTAAAACTTATAACTTGCATTCTTCTCCAAAGAAATCTCTCCAAATTAATCTAACAATTTCTACGGACTTCATGTCAGAATAATTCTGGAATTCTACTCAAAACTTCTCCTTGGAAAATTGTGTGGGAATCCTCCTCAATATTTGGTTGAAATCGACACTTCGAAATTTTACTAAAAAATCCAAGATTCTATCAATTGTTGGGTAATTTGTTGTATCCCTTAAATTGCTTTCAAGTCTCAGAGCCTTGACAATTATGACTCCACGACTTATAAGTATGATTTTTTTCTTCAAATTTTTTATCTAGAAAAAAATTCAAAATCTCGCATTTTATTTTTGTTTTCTCCAAATCTTGCATCACAAATATTGTTGGTAATCAAGAAAAGTTCTAGTTTCAGACTCTACAACAATTTCAAAGCCGCAAGATCTTGGGAATCTTCTTAAATCACTTTTATTTTTCCTTTCGATAAATTCCTTTCAGTAAATAATCTTTCAGTAACATTTTTCCCGTATTAGTCTATTAGTATTATTTAATTTAATGAACCATGTTTAGTTTCACGTTGAGCGAGTTCCAACGTCTGTACGTTTTAAATATTTTTTTGTGTTAACAAATAATTTCTGTAATGTTGTTTTTATTTTTCCCACAAAAAAACCTCCGAAAATTTACAGTTGGTCACGTTTTTAAAAGTGCGTATTATTTCGTTTTTTGCTGAATATTAACAACCGGGAAATTTTTAAGATTTGAACCTGGAAAACACCGGGAATTTCAAATTCAAAATTCACTGGCCACCCAGGGTAGTATTTCTTCCTCACTCTGCTATGTGTATGCTTGCCTCAGCAACCAGTTTGTACAAAAAGCTGGCCAACTCTGCCTCATTCCGAGTCACCTTGCCATTCTTCTTCAACGTCCGCTTGAATTTTTCGATTGGGTGGAATTAGAGGCGATTGGGTGAATTAATGTCTGTTTGTAGCACGCCCAAAATAGTCCAGAGACGATGGGCGTTCTACTTCCAAATGAAAGGACTTAACCACAAAGAAACCACCAGGGACTACCGTTTCGCATCCGATTTTGTTAAACGAACGGTTTATGCGCCACTCTAACGAGGACCGATCGTCAATGTTTAGTTTGCCCGAGATGAGATCTTACTACAGGCATCAGTTTGTTCCTTGAAAAGGATCAGAAAACGGTTCGGCTATCCCCAAATTCACCCGCTCTAGTCTCATAGATCTCATCACACCCGAACGACCAACATCTCAAACTCTAGCATACGGCCAGCAAAGTTCTCTTTCAAAGCTTTCACTTATAATCATTGGAAGTTTCCGCTATTCACGCTAGAAAGCCACACCGTCACGAAAGGGGGCTTTGCCTTCATACAGTGAAGCACAAGATTGCATCGATGTCAATTTTAAAACAGCGCGCGTAAAGGGAAATCTTTCAGGGAACAATTTTTTTTTTCCTGATTTGTTTTCCGTCGATCTTATTTTCCGTGCTGAGCACCAATGCTACCGACGCCAGGAAGGCAGCTCCCACACCTGGACCCTACCTATCGACCCATCAACTCATGAACCGGGAACCAACGGCTTTATACTTCCCTTCCGAAGGAAGGCGTGATCAGAGATGTTATGCCTCAGAACATCCCGGCGGCGCCGACAGGGATTTAACCCAGGCCTGTTGGGGTGAGAGGTAATCACGCTTACCACTACACCACCGGTGCCGCTAGGGAACAAATTACCATGAATCATTATCAGTGACTGGGGAATCTAATAAGGGATATATTCAAAATTCAGAAAGGTTTTCAATTACACAAATTCATTTTAATTATTCTAAATTCTATTTGGTTTTCCCTACAGTAGTGTCTAACTCTGTTCGGTCCGGACCATTGTCAACAAAAAAACAAAAGCGCTTGCAAATAGCCCACAGGCAACTTAAATTCGAGCGTTCATCGAGGACGACAATTATCGGTCGCCGGTCACATGTGCACAAGGACAAAATGAAAGGAGCTCTTTGGTACTTACAGGCCTGGTTTTCGCTTATGGTGACTCAACGAGGTGAACTTCGGCGATCTGAAAGCTCGGTGGTGTGGAGATAAGGTGGTGAAGTGGTGAAGTGGTGATGTCGAGTTTGCTACTCACTACTGCGCGCGTTGCCGCTGCTAGTGCTGTACTAAGCCACCTAGCAGGGCAAAGACTATCCCAGGAACGGTGGAATTGCTTGCTTCACCTTCTACTTCGACTACTTCGCCGAATGGTGCCTTTTGGCCGTGATGTTGATGGTGTGGTCCCTGCTGGCCGGTTTGACGGTTAGCCAACGAATTTGCCAAACGGATAACCCGAAAGAAAAATGCGGCGACGGCTGATCGACTGGCTTTTAAAAAAAACTGGGAATAGAAAGCCGTCGAACGGCTGTTCGACAACGGACAGTTAGACAACGCACCTCACGCACAATCTAATATTTTACATTTTGTGTCTTACTCACTCACTACCGTAACAATCCTAGCACTAAATTTACTGTTTTCAGATCACTGTAATTAAACACAGCTAATTAGCACATGAAAGATTTCTGAGGTTTCAAATTCGTACTTCGATTACTACGAAAAACAGGCAAGCCACACTTCCTACACTATATCGAGTTTCCAGGCAAATGGACGACAAAAACTCGAGCCCTTAAGGAATCTGGGCTACAGGAAATACGTCACACCCGAATGCCTTGACAAAGTCGTTGAAGTTGATTCGTTCGAGTGTCATGCATCTCGCTTTTACAGGCTGCATTAGACCTTGCCTTCCCACTTTCTCACGATTTTCACGGACACGAAGTGAATCGATTTCTGATCCGAAATAATTGCGTGAGAGCAAGAAGAGACCTCGCGAAACGTAGTGCGTAACGTCCTGTCCTGGGGTGTTGCCTAGTTAATGGCGCAAATACTTTCAAGTGTTTTTTTCCCGATCCAGTTGGTTATGACCGTGATGATGATCCGTTCAAATCGAAAGCTTTCCTACTAATGTTTGAATTTAATTGATTTGCTATTTACAACCAAGAATGTACGCTTGGCCTACCTGTTACATGTTGTCAGATGATCTGCTCACTGAACATGTTTAGCAGTAACTCTAGGCTTGTGCCTGAAGTCCTTTGAATCTCCTATCCTATGGAAATTTACGTTTAGTTAAAAAATATTAATAATGGTGAAATTTGCTCGATATTTTATTTCTACATAATGTTACTATTA